ATGTTTGCTGGGGGCATACATCGAGTCCCTGCGTTAGCAAGAAGGCCAGAATCAGCTGCAGAGAGTGAGTGAGTGAGTTTAGTTTCACGCCGCTTTTAGCAATATTCGAGCAATATCACGGCGGGGAACACCAGAAATGAGCTTTACACATTGTGCCCATCTGGGGAATCGAACCCGGGTCTTCAGCGTGACGAGCGAAGAGCTGCAGAGAGGGAATGCCAGAGAACACAACGTGCCGTATCTCGCCTGCCTTGTAAACCGTCACACGCCTGGATGCGCCGTGAAAGAACGGGACGAATCGGCGACCACACAACATAGCTTGCCGTGAGAACCGGGACAAAACGGGCACCAAGGGTGAAACAATAGTGACAAAACGCCACTCAAACGAGGCCAAACGTGCCAAAACCTTAAAGGACCGTGAGATGCCGGGGAATACACATGCCTCCCGTCCCACTACGGACCCACTACGGACCGTCTACAAGTTTTGTTACGGCCTATTACGTGCTGTCACGTTTTGTTGCGTGCCCCCCCGTATTACTACAGCCGACTAGGTTTCTCATTAGTACCGTGACTGCCGTGGCAAATTTGTGAACAGTTTAAAAATCTAGCACGGCATCCACCGCAACCACGGACCGTCACGTTTGCTCATTCCGTACCGCCACGTTGTCTCACGTTGATCCCGCTTTGTCCCCGTTTCGGTGAACCGGCCTGCCGTGACCGCCGGGGACATAGTGAACCCTAGCATTAGCCATCTGTGTGTCACCGTAACGCAACGGCGTGTTATCTAGCAGACTGTGTGCTACCGTGTAGCGATGGTGTGGATCGTTGCTGATGTAGACCGCCTCTGCTCGATTATTTACAAGTTGCCGTGATACAACTGTACCATTACCGTTTTAATAAAGTCTTGGCGGGTCTGTAACACAGACAACTGACTCAAGACATAACAAATGTTATACTGATCCTGAGTCATATGTGTAAGTTAACTAAACAAACAACGATCTAACCAAAGGTTTCTGTATATTTTGATACATTTAATCCATAACAAAGATGACAAAACGCACGATAAAATTATGATACGGTAAGTTGCCTTTAAAGGTCATCAGTTTTGTTATTAAATTTAAAAGATAGATACTTCTTCAACCATAAAGAAGTGCAAACATTTCCCAATTAATAAACTATACAAACAATTCCTAGGAAATCAGAATATATTTAATAAGAGTGTACTTATTCACAGATAGCCTTGCGTTTAACGACATTGATCCGAAACCAGAAACCTTAACAGGGCCCCGAAGACTAAAACAGTGTCAGACAATGTTGTGTGTGAAAAGTAGAACAAAAATAATAAACTCAACAAAATTGAGAAATAAAAGCAAAATTATGAACGATAAAATGTATGTACAAATAACTAACGTATGTATTTTAAGAGCAGGGGTCATGTTTCACACAATGACATTTCAGTAATGATCCACGTATAACAAAATAAAGGACTGTCACATGCCCTATTTACTCAAATTGCTATGTTGTAGTTGAACTGTACCCAGCTGAACTTGATGAGCCATGCATGCCCCAATACTGAAACAGGACCTCCCCATATCTGTCGTCTCCGCGATCTCCGCTTCACATGAAACAGTTTCTGTTTCCACCCAGTTTATGAATAAAATCAACATAATTCATCATACTAAGTGAGAACACAATTTAAATATTCGTTCTTCGCATCGTTGATCCCATTCCCAGCGTGACGATAGACGGACGAGATACTTTTTTAATCGAAAACATGTACTTCCCATCAAAAGTTTAGACTCACTAGTGTCAATATAGTCACTTACTTCAGGCAACTGTTCTAAACTAAATTTTGCAAAATATTCCATACTGTTTAAAGGTACTGTTTACACATGAACTGATGTGTTGTAAAACACATTCGTAACGTTGAAAAGATTATTGTCATGAGTTTAATAAATGATAAAAATCAGTGAAAATTGGCGAATTCTTAACAAAACTTTACACCAAAACGCAGCTTTTCACGTGCATGGTATTTGCACATGCTTTTCAGCAATTAGATGCATGATCCTCGTGCAATTCATCTGCATAAGGTTTGTGTAGTTGGTCCCCCCAAGTTAGTGGAGAAATTAATCTTCGATGTAACCCTATATATATATATATACACATAACATATAGTGAGTGTTTTATGTGAGTCTAAACTTTTGATGGGAAGTATATATTTTGATGGAGTGTGCAATCTTGCTTTAAATATTTGTTTCTCTTTCAATAGGTTAATGTATAATCAATTTATATCGTGTCTTGGCGCCACATTTTGGACCCTAGGTTTAAGAACATATGTTAGATAGCAATCTGCTGTATATATTGTTGACACCTCACAAATGGGATCCGGTATGCACCTGGCAACTGAGAAAATTCCCTTCCATGAATACATTTACAAAATGTACTAAACGAAGAATATATACAAGCAGTCGCATATAATGCCTGAAAATTATGCAAAATGATACCTTTATTGATATCAATTTTTAGTCTTCTTGAATCCCATCAGAGACTATATAATAGCCGGGTGACCTGAAGCAGCCTACCCCTCGTGCACGTTGATTGTATACACATGAAAATAAGTATCGCAATACATATATTTCATAGTATCAATATGTTACCATTAACCATAGCTACATGAGCTTATCCAAACTTACTATCTGGATAAACTGAACCTCAATGAATATTTCAATGGCAATTAAAGCGCAAAATGAAAGAGGTTTATTTAGGGAAGCAAACATAACCATGAGTCATGATCACAAATAGTCGATTCCCGTCCTCCCATTGGACCCTTCCCCATGACGCCCATTGACATTAACGGATGACGTCTTATGATGCTGAAGGAAGAGTTGTCACTCGTGGTCGACCTGAACGCTAGGCCCTTAACGTCATGAGCTTGCTGATGCTTTCTGGCCAATGGCTGATAGTCGATGGATGCCAACCAACATATCATGCAGTAGCCTTCAGTGACACGCCAGCATTCCGGATACCGATAACTTGGAAGCAGTGGTCATCTGAGAAGGCCCCGCAGTTGCTTATCAACATCGAATATTAATTGATTTTCCAAGTTACCATGCCGTAAGAACAGTTTACTGAAATTTAATATTTGCTTCATGACGGGTATGCACACTGCATGTGATGCTAGCAAGTGCATATCTAAAATCAATGCATGGTGCGTCCTAAGGGTAAAAATAATCATACAAGCAAATATAATAATGATATGAATATAAATGGCTATACATGTATTATAAATGTTGCGATACTTTTTTCTATGTGTATACCTTATATGTACAGTTTGACATCAAAGTGGTTATTGTTAAAAGAACGTAAATATATACAAATTAAAATAATATTGACATGTATCTACATGATCGTATTAATTTGCATGACATGAAGTATGTACACATATAATATTAATTAACATTACGAAAAACATTCTAGCTTCCTACAATATCTGTCATGCTTGATGAAACGGGTTGGCAACTTCATGAGACGCTAAAGCCTATGAAAGTTTTATATGTGGTTTTATGCACAAAGGCTCGAAGTGACAATATGACGAGTACAAATACGATTTGATTCAACTGTCCCTATTTGCGAACAATATTCAAACATATTTCGTGTTTACTGCATTTCAAAATGTTTGAGGTACTCTCGAACACGCTCTTTTCATCCAGATTTTAGAGATTACCTACGTCTCTTGCTTTCCTTTCGCGCGAACCCATGGTGTCATAGCTATAGCTATTTACTAATGGTTCATAAACATATGGCTTTAACACAGTCGGAATCGTACAATGAAATCTCGTTTAAAATGAGATGTTGTTGGATCATGGAAAGGTCTTTGTCGTGCTTCCAAGTCATTGTTTATGACAGTTCTGTTCATCCGTACACCATGATTTACTGTTATTTTGTAGACAAGGATAGGCTAAGGGTAAAAGGGTCAGTACTTGTGTACTGATCTAGTCAAGTATATCCCTTGATACTATATTGTCGGAGAAATTATCACTTAGTGTTTCATATGCACAATAAATGGGCATTATATATCGGATAATTTTATGAACTGGCAACAAGAAAATATTATTTTAAATTTCACATTTTACCATGAGAATACACAATTTCCCTGTAGTTCTATTTTATTTCAAGCATAACAAGTAAAACCGATACCGATACCCTACTGATGGTGAATCAAAGGATACTATTGATATGTATATATGTACTGTTTGAACAAAACTGTTTCATTCCTTAGATATCTTTGACCAGGAAATATTTAAATAACATTCAGTTTCGGTGAAGTGTCACAGGAAATGTTTCTACTGACACGTTTACCTCGAGTAACTTAACCATACTGTGAATATAAATGATTTTTTCGAGACCCATACATGATGTTCTTTATGTGATGGTTTTTTTTTTTTTTTGTTTTTTTTTTTTTATTTTTTTTCTTTTTTTTATTTTTTTTTTTTATGTGATGTTGATATCACAAACTATTTGCTCCCGTGACAATCCTGGCTGTAATTTATATGAGGCGACTAACGGGATCGTGTGCACAGGCTCGATAATCCAAGTTAGCAGATCGATGCTCATGATGTCAATCACGTGATTGTCTCACCCATACTCGGTTATTTATATACCGCCCTCATATAAATGTTCCTGTTAAACAGGCTTTTAACAGGAAAGATAAAAAGATACGGCATTAAGGGTGGCGGTGGTGATGAGGGTTGTAGTGGACGAGGATGGTCAGTGTTTCTCGTCACACGTTTTCGATTTTTGTAAATGGTATGAGCGTAATGATTGCATTAATTCAGTTGAGAATGTTTACGTCACATAGTAACGCACACATTGACAATTATGTTATAAATAATTACAACAATAGAGAAGAGTGAGTGAGTATGGTTTTACGCCGCTTTCAGCAATATTCCAGCAATATCACGGCGGGGGACACCAGAAATGGGCTTCACACGCTTACCCTTGTGGGGAAACGAACCCAGGTCTTCGGCGTGACGAGCGAACGCTTTAACCACTAGGCTACCCCACCCCCAATAATGAAGAACTTCGATGTTGATGGAACTATGTCTTGATGCGATTGTGTTGACACACGGAACTTTGTCTTCAGGTGCTGACAGTCCTGACACGGTTCTTGAAATGTTCACTGGTTCAAGGTCAACTGAGCCTGTACAGAAATGACAACATAGTTATGAAATATAAGACTGATCATATTGCGAAGTATATTGATCACATGCAGATTGTACTGATTGCAGGGCGTAATGCTGTCTCTTTATTTTGCTTGAGGCTCGTAGCAATGTTATCCTCGTCTGAAAATACCCCTTTATATTCAACACAACCTAACAGTAAAATATGATTGGTGTGTTGTTATTTTTTATTATTACTATGTATAAAACCAATCAGTTTGAAACCAACAAACACGAAAGAAATGGTATACAATCAATAACAAAGGTTAACAGAAGAATACAGGTTACTGCACTGGCAGTAGATGGTAGACTGAACGTACAAATATAATGGCAGAACCATTTTAGTGGGAGTTCAGTAGTGGTAATAGAGATTAGGTCAGTGAGAATAATGCTGACGTAGCAGGGGCAGGTGTCTAGCTTCCAAAATATACCCGTGCCAGACATGCATGGTGAAAACATTCTTCACACCAGCGCAGGACGTGATGGTGGATGTACTTTGAGTGAGTGAGTGACTGACTTTAGTTTTACGCCGCTTTAAGCAATATTCCAGCAATATCACGGCGGGGGACACCAGAAATGGGCTTCACACATTGTGCCTACGTGGGGAATCGAACCCGGGTCTTCGGCGTGACGAGCTCGAGCGAACGCTTTAACCACAAGGCTACTCCACCGCCCCTGAGGTTCTTTGAGGTAGAGTCCGAGTTAAAATAGGTCATGAACATCCTCAGCTGACTGCACCCTGCTGACTGAACAGAATCCAAGGAACCTATGCTGCGGGTACCCAGTGGATTCTGGGTTAGAATGGGCCCCCAGTAATGCTTCTCGGTCGTATCCACAGTGGATCCCGGGTTAGAATAGGCCCCCAGTAAACAATGTCGGTCGTATACACAGTGAGTCCTGGGTTAGAATAGGCCCCCAGTAAACAATGTCAGTCGTATCCACAGTGGATCCCGGGTTAGAATAGGCCCCAGTAAACAATGTCGGTCGTATCCACAGTGGGTCCCAGGTTAGAATAGACCCTCAGTAAACAATGTCGGTCGTATACACAGTGGATCCTGGGTTAGAATAGACCCTCAGTAAACAATGTCGGTCGTATACACAGTGGATCCCGGGTTAGAATAGACCCTCAGTAAACAATGTCGGTCGTATACACAGTGGATCCTGGGTTAGAATAGACCCTCAGTAAACAATGTCGGTCGTATCACAGTGGATCCTGGGTTAGAATAGGCCCCAGTAAACAATGTCGGTCGTATCCACAGTGGATCCTGGGTTAGAATAGGCCCCAGTAAACAATGTCGGTCGTATCCACAGTGGATCCTGGGTTAGAATAGACCCTCAGTAAACAATGTCGGTCGTATACACAGTGGATCCTGGGTTAGAATAGACCCTCAGTAAACAATGTCGGTCGTATCCACAGTGGATCCTGGGTTAGAATAGGCCCCCAGTAAACAATGTCGGTCGTATCCACAGTGGATCCCGGGTTAGAATAGGCCCCAGTAAACAATGTCGGTCGTATCCACAGTGGATCCCGGGTTAGAATAGGCCCCCAGTAAACAATGTCGGTCGTATCCACAGTGGATCCCGGGTTAGAATAGGCCCCCAGTAAACAATGTCGGTCGTATCCACAGTGGATCCTGGGTTAGAATAGGCCCCCAGTAAACAATGTCGGTCGTATCCACAGTGGATCCCGGGTTAGAATAGGCCCCCAGTAAACAATGTCGGCTGTATCCACAGTGGATCCGGGTTAGAATTGGACCCAGTAAACAATGTCGGTCGTATCCACAGTGGATCCTGGGTTAGAATAGACCCTCAGTAAACAATGTCGGTCGTATCCACAGTGGATCCTGGGTTAGAATAGGCCCTCAGTAAACAATGTCGGTCGTATCCACAGTGGATCCCGGGTTAGAATAGGCCCCCAGTGAACAATGTCGGTCGTATCCACAGTGGATCCCGGGTTAGAATAGGCCCTCAGTAAACAATGTCGGTCGTATCCACAGTGGATCCCGGGTTAGAATAGGCCCTCAGTAAACAATGTCGGTCGTATCCACAGTGGATCCCGGGTTAGAATAGGCCCTCAGTAAACAATGTCGGCCGTATCCACAGTGGATCACGGATTAGAATAGGCCCTCAGCAAACAATGTCGGCCGTATCCACAGTGGATCACGGGTTAGAATAGGCCCCTAGTAAATGATGTCCATCGTATACACAGTGGATCCTGGGTTAGAATAGGCCCCCAGTAAACAATGTTGGTCGTACACAGTGGATGTCGGGTTAGAATAGACCCTCAGTTAGCAATGTCGGCCGTATCCACAGTGGATCCCGGGTTAGAATATGCCATCAGTAAACAATGTCGGTCGTATCCACAGTGGATCCCGGGTTAGAATAGGCCCCCAGTAAACAATGTCGGTCGTACCCACAGTGGATCCTGGTTTAGAATAGGCCCCCAGTAAACAATGTCGGTCGTACCCACAGTGGATCCCGGGTTAGAATAGGCCCCCAGTAAACAATGTCGGTCGTACCCACAGTGGAACCTGGGTTAGAATAGGCCCCCAGTAAACAATGTCGGTCGTACCCACAGTGGATCCCGGGTTAGAATAGGCCCCCAGTAAACAATGTCGGTCGTACCCACAGTGGAACCTGGGTTAGAATAGGCCCCCAGTAAACAATGTCGGTCGTACCCACAGTGGATCCTGGGTTAGAATAGGCCCCCAGTAAACAATGTCGGTCGTACCCACAGTGGATCCCGGGTTAGAATAGGCCCCCAGTAAACAATGTCGGTCGTACCCACAGTGGAACCTGGGTTAGAATAGGCCCCCAGTAAACAATGCCGGTCGTACCCACAGTGGATTATGGGTTAGAATAGGCCCCCATTAAACAATGTCGGTCGTACCCACAGTGGATTATGGGTATAACAGGTCAAAAGCACAAACAAACCTGGGATGGTAACAAACGTCTGGGAACTTCTGGTATTTGGTCGTTGCCATGGTGAATTACGACGCTGTGATCCGAAAATGGGTTCTTTGCCGGCTCACGAAATTTCTATAAAACATACCTATCGTTCAAATATGTGAGAAAAGACGATGTACAGCATGCCGGTTTGCAGTAGAATATATAACCAGCATAACTACTGAATACCAGGGAAGGAATTGGGATGTGGAAAAACGTTATATTGTACATTCTAGATTTGGTAATCATAATCCTATAAAATATAATCACCTCCACGTTTTCGTAATCCCCAGTACCGTTGTGGACGAGACTGGGCCTCATTCTGTCACAAGACGGGAGAGCCTCCATTAGGGCCTCATGGAGAAACAGGAACTGCTCCTAGTGGGCGAAAACACAGTTTATTGCTTACGGAATTCAACATTATCACATGGTGTAACATGTGAAAACACAAATGAAATATGTACGTCGAAATAAGCAATATAAAAGCAGCGTTCGAAATACCTGCCTGCCCGACCGCCCAGGTCAGGTTATTTTCAACACGGACTGCCAGATTCTCAAATTCACCTGCCCGACGGTCGGGTTAAAATTTAGACATGTATATGAAAATATTCATCATATTTCAGGATAATAAAACATGATGAAGTGATAACATGAATTCAAGCAAACATGTATTAAAAACACAAATCTGAATGAACAGTTAATTCTTTTCTTGCACTGGTATTAGTTCTTTCAATATTTTACAAATTTTAATTTAATCATACTAAGTAAATTAGTATTAGTGTGGGCAGGTAGGTTTTGGTCTGGGCTGGCAAGTTTTACATCTAACCAGCCCTGTGGTCTGGCTGAAATTTTTGGGAGTTTCATACCTTGATAAAAGTCGTTATCAAACTTGAAATTATGTATTTCAGCTAGTACAGACTCCATGACATCTCACCTCGGTCTGAATGAGATCCATGCGCTGGTGTCGGAGTCTGACAATGCACTCAAAGACATCCACCACACCTTCCGCCTTAGCTTGTTGGATCAAATAGTCCAGAGCGATCCACGTTCCAGTCCGACCGACACCAGCACTGTCAAATACAACAACATGAACTCTACGAACCCAAGTAATTCCCAAACCATGAAACAAATACTACACTGGCCAATAACATGTACACATACAGGCCGAGGTCACACTCACAACGAATTCAGCTTTCATCAAGTACGACGATGCATCGAGTAATCAAATGGTTAAAGCCTTGGCTCGTTGTGCCGAAGACCTCGGTTCACTTCCCGATATAGGTACAACGCGAACATGACAGTACAGAAAGGCAATTGGTTAATCCCTGACCCACTGTTTCACAATAATAACATGTACCCTCCATGAAGGTAATCACAGTACTGGTACCTGCAATGGACAACCGCTGGGCCTTTCCCAGTTGACGGTGCGTTCTTGACCAGTCTGTGGAAGTCCACCAGCGTCCCGACATCTTCTGGCACTCCTTTGTCTGGCCACGCTGTGAAGTGGTACTGCTTCAGTCTCCGAGGTAACTCCGCCTCCTGTAAAACAAATGAGTGTATTCATTTACATTTTATCATTAAAAACTGTCATTGATGGACAGAATAACAATCAGCAATACATTTTGTATTGTTGTGAAATCTCGAGTTAAATTGCCCTTACCCTGTGTACAGAGGACGTCCTGACTGTGTAGTTTATCCTTACCCTGTGTACAGAGAACGTCCTGACTGTGTAGTTTATCCTTACCCTGTGTACAGAGAACGTCCTGACTGTGTAGTTTATCCTTACCCTGTGTACAGAGAACGTCCTGACTGTGTAGTTTATCCTTACCCTGTGTACAGAGAACGTCCTGACTGTGTAGTTTATCCTTACCCTGTGTACAGAGAACGTCCTGACTGTGTAGTTTATCCTTACCCTGTGTACGAGAACGTCCTGACTGTGTAGTTTATCCTTACCCTGTGTACAGAGAACGTCCTGACTGTGTAGTTTATCCTTACCCTGTGTACAGAGAACGTCCTGACTGTGTAGTTTATCCTTACCCTGTGTACAGAGAACGTCCTGACTGTGTAGTTTATCCTTACCCTGTGTACAGAGAACGTCCTGACTGTGTAGTTTATCCTTACCCTGTGTACAGAGAACGTCCTGACTGTGTAGTTTATCCTTACCCTGTGTACAGAGAACGTCCTGACTGTGTAGTTTATTTATCCTTACCCTGTGTACAGAGAACGTCCTGACTGTGTAGTTTATCCTTACCCTGTGTACAGAGAACGTCCTGACTGTGTAGTTTATCCTTACCCTGTGTACAGAGAACGTCCTGACTGTGTAGTTTATCCTTACCCTGTGTACAGAGACGTCCTGACTGTGTAGTTTATCCTTACCCTGTGTACAGAGAACGTCCTGTGTGTAGTTTATCAGAGAGGACGTCCTGACTGTGTAGTTTATCCTTACCCAGTACAGAGAACGTCCTGACTGTGTAGTTTATCCTTACCCTGTGTACACAGAGAACGTCCTGACTGTGTAGTTTATCCTTACCCTGTGTACAGAGAACGTCCTGACTGTGTAGTTTATCCTTACCCTGTGTACAGAGAACGTCCTGACTGTGTAGTTTATCCTTACCCTGTGTACAGAGAACGTCCTGACTGTGTAGTTTATCCTTACCCTGTGTACAGAGAGAGAACGTCCTGACTGTGTAGTTTATCCTTACCCTGTGTACAGAGAGGACGTCCTGACTGTGTAGTTTATCCTTACCCCTGTGTACAGAGGACGTCCTGACGTGACTGTAGTTTATCCTTACCCTGTGTACAGAGAACGTCCTGACTGTGTAGTTTATCCTTACCCCTGTGTACAGAGAGACGTCCTGACTGTGTAGTTTATCCTTACCCTGTACACAGAGAACGTCCTGACTGTGTAGTTTATCCTTACCCTGTGTACAGAGAAACGTCCTGACTGTGTAGTTTATCCTTACCCTGTGTACAGAGGACGTCCTGACTGTGTAGTTTATCCTTACCCTGTGTACAGAGACGTCCTGACTGTGTAGTTTATCCTTTCCCTGTGTACAGAGAACGTCCTGACTGTGTAGTTTATCCTTACCCTGTGTACAGAGGACGTCCTGACTGTGTAGTTTATCCTTACCCTGTGTACAGAGAACGTCCTGACTGTGTAGTTTATCCTTACCCTGTGTACAGAGAACGTCCTGACTGTGTAGTTTATCCTTACCCTGTGTACAGAGAACGTCCTGACTGTGTAGTTTATCCTTACCCTGTGTACAGAGAACGTCCTGACTGTGTAGTTTATCCTTACCCTGTGTACAGAGGACGTCCTGACTGTGTAGTTTATCCTTACCCTGTGTACAGAGAACGTCCTGACTGTGTAGTTTATCCTTTCCCTGTGTACAGAGAACGTCCTGACTGTGTAGTTTATCCTTACCCTGTGTACAGAGAACGTCCTGACTGTGTAGTTTATCCTTTCCCTGTGTACAGAGAACGTCCTGACTGTGTAGTTTATCCTTACCCTGTGTACAGAGAACGTCCTGACTGTGTAGTTTATCCTTACCCTGTGTACAGAGAACGTCCTGACTGTGTAGTTTATCCTTACCCTGTGTACAGAGAACGTCCTGACTGTGTAGTTTATCCTTTCCCTGTGTACAGAGGACGTCCTGTGTGTGTAGTTTATCCTTACCCTGTGTACAGAGACGTCCTGACTGTGTAGTTTATCCTTACCCTGTGTACAGAGAACGTCCTGACTGTGTAGTTTATCCTTACCCTGTGTACAGAGAACGTCCTGACTGTGTAGTTTATCCTTTCCCTGTGTACAGACAGAGAACGTCCTGACTGTGTAGTTTATCCTTACCCTGTGTACAGAGAACGTCCTGACTGTGTAGTTTATCCTTTCCCTGTGTACAGAGAACGTCCTGACTGTGTAGTTTATCCTTACCCTGTGTACAGAGAGGACGTCCTGACTGTGTAGTTTATCCTTACCCTGTGTACAGAGAACGTCCTGACTGTGTAGTTTATCCTTACCCTGTGTACAGAGAACGTCCTGACTGTGTAGTTTATCCTTACCTGTGTACAGAGAACGTCCTGACTGTGTAGTTTATCCTTACCCTGTGTACAGAGACGTCCTGACTGTAGTTTATCCTTACCCTGTGTACAGAGGACGTCCTGACTGTGTAGTTTATCCTTACCCTGTGTACAGAGAACGTCCTGACTGTGTAGTTTATCCTTACCCTGTGTACAGAGAACGTCCTGACTGTGTAGTTTATCCTTACCCTGTGTACAGAGAACGTCCTGACTGTGTAGTTTATCCTTACCCTGTGTACAGAGAACGTCCTGACTGTGTAGTTTATCCTTACCCTGTGTACAGAGAACGTCCTGACTGTGTAGTTTATCCTTACCCTGTGTACAGAGAACGTCCTGACTGTGTAGTTTATCCTTACCCTGTGTACAGAGAACGTCCTGACTGTGTAGTTTATCCTTACCCTGTGTACAGAGAACGTCCTGACTGTGTAGTTTATCCTTACCCTGTGTCCTGACTGAGAACCTCCTGAGAACTGTGTAGTTTATCCTTACCCTGTGTACAGAGAGACGTCCTGACTGTGTAGTTTATCCTTACCCTGTGTACAGAGAACGTCCTGACTGTGTAGTTTATCCTTTCCCTGTGTACAGAGAACGTCCTGACTGTGTAGTTTATCCTTACCCTGTGTACAGAGAACGTCCTGACTGTGTAGTTTATCCTTACCCTGTGTACAGAGAACGTCCTGACTGTGTAGTTTATCCTTACCCTGTGTACAGAGAACGTCCTGACTGTGTAGTTTATCCTTACCCTGTGTACAGAGAACGTCCTGACTGTGTAGTTTATCCTTACCCTGTGTACAGAGAACGTCCTGACTGTGTAGTTTATCCTTACCCTGTGTACAGAGAACGTCCTGACTGTGTAGTTTATCCTTACCCTGTGTACAGAGAACGTCCTGACTGTGTAGTTTATCCTTACCCTGTGTACAGAGAACGTCCTGACTGTGTAGTTTATCCTTACCCTGTGTACAGAGAACGTCCTGACTGTGTAGTTTATCCTTACCCTGTGTACAGAGAACGTCCTGACTGTGTAGTTTATCCTTACCCTGTGTACAGAGAACGTCCTGACTGTGTAGTTTATCCTTACCCTGTGTACAGAGAACGTCCTGACTGTGTAGTTTATCCTTACCCTGTGTACAGAGAACGTCCTGACTGTGTAGTTTATCCTTACCCTGTGTACAGAGAACGTCCTGACTGTGTAGTTTATCCTTACCCTGTGTACAGAGAACGTCCTGACTGTGTAGTTTATCCTTACCCTGTGTACAGAGAACGTCCTGACTGTGTAGTTTATCCTTACCCTGTGTACAGAGAACGTCCTGACTGTGTAGTTTATCCTTACCCTGTGTACAGAGAACGTCCTGACTGTGTAGTTTATCCTTACCCTGTGTACAGAGAACGTCCTGACTGTGTAGTTTATCCTTACCCTGTGTACAGAGAACGTCCTGACTGTGTAGTTTATCCTTACCCTGTGTACAGAGAACGTCCTGACTGTGTAGTTTATCCTTACCCTGTGTACAGAGAACGTCCTGACTGTGTAGTTTATCCTTACCCTGTGTACAGAGAACGTCCTGACTGTGTAGTTTATCCTTACCCTGTGTACAGAGAACGTCCTGACTGTGTAGTTTATCCTTACCCTGTGTACAGAGAACGTCCTGACTGTGTAGTTTATCCTTACCCTGTGTACAGAGAACGTCCTGACTGTGTAGTTTATCCTTACCCTGTGTACAGAGAACGTCCTGACTGTGTAGTTTATCCTTACCCTGTGTACAGAGAACGTCCTGACTGTGTAGTTTATCCTTACCCTGTGTACAGAGAACGTCCTGACTGTGTAGTTTATCCTTACCCTGTGTACAGAGAACGTCCTGACTGTGTAGTTTATCCTTACCCTGTGTACAGAGAACGTCCTGACTGTGTAGTTATCCTATCCTTACCCTGTGTGTGTACAGAGAACGTCCTGACTGTGTAGTTTATCCTTACCCTGTGTACAGAGAACGTCCTGACTGTGTAGTTTATCCTTACCCTGTGTACAGAGAACGTCCTGACTGTGTAGTTTATCCTTACCCTGTGTACAGAGAACGTCCTGACTGTGTAGTTTATCCTTACCCTGTGTACAGAGAACGTCCTGACTGTGTAGTTTATCCTTACCCTGTGTACAGAGGACGTCCTGACTGTGTAGTTTATCCTTACCCGGTGTACAGAGAACGTCCTGACCGTGTAGTCCATCAGCTCCTCCTCGGCGACACATTGGACATGGACATCGTTATAGTCAGAGCCTGGCTGGCCGAAGTCCGGCCAGTACTTCTCACACTTTGCCTGGAAAATTTGAATGAGTTCGTGTATTTAAATACTGTCCTTCTTATAAATATCAGTTCATATGCAAATAACATAATTCACACAATATTATAATGATGTGCACTACAAGACTTCCCATATTATTCCATAACCAAAACACCTCTCGGGAAAACCTCATGCAGCCTGACGCAATTTTACTGAGAGTTGAAGGCAAAGAGATATGCATTGTGTGTAGAACAAAACATCCAGGGAGATAATTCGATTTTTTCCATATGTGCATCGTTCGAATATTTGCGGGGTCTAACAATTTTACAAAATATAAAATGATATTGAAAACAATACACAGCAAAAACAAACAAATTAGGAAAATACCAAAAGGAGTTTAGTGTTTTCGGGGTTTACAATTACATAAGATATAACATTATCACAGTTACCTAGACAGATGAAGAGGACGTGTTAATCATAAAATCAAGGGCAAAAGTTGTTGTGACTCACAAACAATCAGTGCAGAACTACAAAGGCTTGATCTTGATTATTTGAAGTCGGTTAAAGTGTTCGCTAGTCACACCGGTTCGATTCCCCATATAAGTACAATGTGAGAAGCCCATTTCTGGAGTCCCCCGCCGTGATATTGCTGAAATATTGCTAAAAACGGCACAAAACCTTACTCACTCACTATTAATACCTTTCTGTTTTCTACACAGTTTGTTAACATGATTATTTTGCTGGCATCTATTTCCCATATCATCCTCCAGAAGTCTCGAATAACGTCTCCATAAGGTCCTGAAAAAGTAGAGAGAAAATTGTTTTATAAAATTAGATGCCAGTTCACACATTTCATCTGGAACAATTTCCTCCCAAAACGGTTGCACTGTAAACAGGAAACAGCAAGCCTGGGAATATTACCTTGTGTGGCTACAAATGTGTGTTTCTCCCCGTATCCCTGAAACAAGGAAATAACAGTGTCAATAGCCATTGAATTAACGTTTCATGAGTGAGTTAATGATTGAGTATGGTTTTACGCTGCTTTTAGCAATATTCCAGCAATATCACGGCGAGGGACACCAGAAATGGGCTTCACACATTGCACCCATGTGGGGAATCGAACCCGGGTCCTCGACGTGACGGGCGAACGCGTTAACCGATAGGCTACCCCACCACCCCTAACATTTCCTGAGTATTCAGCACCTTCATATAATAGTAAGTATAATTTGATCAGTGTCACAAATTTACTGTATGATCTCAGGGTTGATGCCCCTAAAAACCAACTCCAATGCATTGAATTTTAGGCTTAGCATAGCTCTAGTTATATTATGAGGGCGAGGGCGAGGGCGAGGGCGTGGGCGAGGGCGAGGGCGAGGGCGAGGGCGCGAGGGCGAGGGCGTTGGCGAGGGCGTTGGCGAGGGCGTTGGCGAGGGCGTTGGCGAGGGCGTTGGCGAGGGCGTGGGCGTAGGCGAGGGCGAGGGCATGGGCGAGGGAGGTCTGTTCTGTAATATGCCTTACCTACACCCATAACAGATTTGAGCATCGATGTACGTATTGGGGTTACGATGACATGCATCAACCAAGGCTGTGACCCCGAGAAGTCGATCTGGACGTGTCTTAAGACAAGCTTGGGAGACTAAACATAAATTATGTCTTCACGGGGATTGGGAATTATCTGGACAGGTGTTGAACAATTTAGTCTTTGGTGATTCATGTAATACTGAAGCTAAAAGTTATCAGTTTATAATCTATTTTCCAGGATAGTTCAATAATAATGTCGCTGCCATAATGATAACTTACATTTATGTAGCTAGCGTTGATGTAGTCGGATCTACGGATGTTGGGGATAGGGGAAAGTTTGACTCTGCAATGATCATCTGGAAAAAGGAAAACATAGCTTTGTCACAAAGTATACAATATACAACATCCAGGCCTAGAATGATTAGACTCCTTTATCTGCCAAAACAGATTATATGGTGCCAAGAGGCAATACACCTTTGAAAATAGATACTATTATATGATATATACATAGATCACTGAAAGTTTGGAATTACGGGAAAGGATTACTGATGACACCGGGTGTTCGCGAAAAGGATAAGCATGTCCTGTTCCACTGGTACCACAACTACCAGAGTGATATACACTTCGGTAACATCAAAGATTATATTGCACTGGATTAGAAATGATCTAAACGTTATAAACACACCAATATCCACTACAGTTGAACTATAATCTACAAATATAGATCTTCCTGAACCGCTGTGGCGGTATGATGGTATTGTAACTAACTCGTCTATATATACTTACATGGCAGTATGTTTCTATATCTGTTTTTGCAAACATTTTCTGGCAATTCGGCTTCGTCACACGGCCCAAGTTTGCCACACGGAAGTTCCTTTAACATCACAAATTTATATATCAGACTTAGAATTCATCAACCCATGCTAAAATCCTTTGTAAGTCAAACGCACTCGTGTGTATGGAAGATTATCGTGGGTCTAGAAAGAAAATTAATGAAATAATCGGATATCCACCACTCGCTAAGAACTTATGTGGTTGTTAGGCACCAAAAGGTGAATTGATATCTAATTGAAACTTGGAACTAGGAATGATAGGAACGTATTCGTAAATGCTAAAACACCTTAAATGACAGCTGGGTATACCCTACATGCAAATACAATCAGCAATATGGCATACATAACACTGCTCTGTGAAACCACCCCTTCTCTTCATCTGTTCAACGTAGAGTCGCAGGCCTTGCACCATCACCTCTGTTGACCACATAGCTACTAGGTTTGACTTGTCCGTTACGTGACACGCAGGAGGACCAAGGTCACCATCATGACATGACTCTCTGGGTGAGATCAGGTGAGCGGATGCAGATTGGTGGGTGAAGGCAAATCCTGAATGTCTCGCTGTGATGTAATCGTCCTCGACGTCTGCACTTGTCAAGGGCTGCCACTCTTGATAGTCAGAGTTCTCAGGTGTTGCAACACCTGGAACACAATGTGGGGTTTTAACAATTCATTCATTTAAATGTTTCAAACCAAGCGCCTGTACGAAATCTCGACTACGAGTACCCACATTATACAGTGACATTGTCCCACTTCACACATGACACTAATGTGGGGCGGTGGGGTAGCCTAATGGTTAAAGCGTTGGCTCATCACGCCGAAGACCCGGGTTCGAATCCCCACATGGGTACAATGTGTGAAGCCCATTTCTGGTGTCCCCCGCCGTGATGTTGCTGGAATATTGCTAAAAGCGGCGTAAAACCAAACTCAGTCAGTCAGTCATGACACTAAGCACTCTTGTGGAGCACTCAGCACTCAAGATTTATAATGATGGTATGATGTTTAAGCTACCAAATGTTTCTGATTCAATGATTCAGTGTGTATTCACAACTTCTCAGTTACCTCTGGGTGTTGACTGATACGAAGGGTTGATCAATGACATTGGAGTCGGGCTGCTTCCAGGATGGCCGACAATGTATCTCCATTTCAGGATATTGTTAAGTTTATTCCTGAAAGGAGAAAACATAACAGTCAATATGAGCAACTGAGAAATCTCAGAAAAACTGGTTTCTATGACACACTTCATGAATAATGAAATCATGTTGCTATTTGCAAGTCAGATAGGATTGTTTTCTTGCTGTTTAAAGCTGCACTCAGCAATATTCCAATATGTTAACGGTCTGGCATGATAAGAAATAACATAGATTATGATGTTTGTATTACCTACCTTTTTATGGCATATAGAGCCATTGAAAGAAGAATGATGATGATCACAAACAGAGCCGGCAGCCAATGGACAACGTTGCTGTCACCTGTTGCAATAGTATACGATATGAAATATGCCATAATATCCTCAAAAGTTATTTATTTCTTCCCATGAAATGGCAGTAGATAATGTTTCCATTCCGTAACATTTACCATTGAAGAGTTGTGTGCCTCGCATTTTGACATAGATTCCGCCAATTAAATATTTGCATGTTTTCGGATTTCTCTTAATATTTCCAATAACATCAATATATTTTTAAAATATTTATTCTGTTGGACTACATGTACAAATGCATATTCAAAGTTGGGAATCAGGACTTTTACACAAGTTAATTTTCTTAGATTTAATAAACTACACTAAAGACATCCATATTTCGTAAACATGTCTTCTTGAGGGGCGAACCTGGTGACATTTCCACCTACCACAGAAACAGGTGCCATTTTTATTTTAATAATCACGGCTTAAACTGTCGTGTTTGATGTGTGCTAACGACCTAATGTCAGTTTGTCGCCCTTCTGAAACCTTGAAACACCGTGAATCAGAGATGAGAGTCAATCGCCCATACGACCGTACATATAAAGCAAAAAAAAGGAAAAAAAGAGCAGCGTCTCGGCGTTTGCTTTGCAATGAAATCCCTGAAGTTTCAATTCGTAGCGTGATATTTAACTGACGTCATCTGTAAATTGTCTCTGAGCGTTAGAAATGGAGAGAAATTAAGTAACATACGCAAGTCTGCATGATCGGATAACAGTTGCAAAATTTTAGTGAGTGAGTGAGTGAATGAGTTTAGTTTTACACCGCATTCAGCAATATTCCAGCTATATGGCGGCGGTCTGTAAATAATCGACTCTGGACCAGACAACCCAGTGATCAACAGCATTAGCATCGATCTACGCAATTGGAACAGCATTGCACACCGACACTCAGATAGTACAATGTTTCCTTACGGCTAAAACATATCAAATAGTTTATTATAAAGTTCAAAAGTGAAAGAAATTGATAATTCTATTTTCGAATGATTACTCAATATGCCTGTTTACTCGGGTGCGAATCCGGCGCGGCAATAAGTAAGTAATAGGTTCACGTTTCATTTGTAGAGTTACACAACAGATTAATGAAATACCACAAAAAAGATAAATGCTCTCATTGCATCATTATAAATGCACAAAACATATGTACTATGTCTAAACTTCGTTTGTCCCAAGGCAATAAATAAATGGTTTTGTCAATCATCACAAAACTGACTCAATATTTCTCATAAAATTTATCCTTAACATTTAGTTAATTAATAATGGATGGACCTGTCTAGTTCGCTAAGGAAATATAAACATTATTTCCATCAAAACCTGACCCAACTTCCGCACAAAAACGTTGCAATATGTGACCTGTGGCAATATACGCTTTACGTGTGTCTGATATAGCATATGTCACTATGGATAGTTAGCGTGATACAAAGATGATATCAATATATCTGTTTTGAAATAAATGTATATATCAAATAGATTGTTTCGGACCCATCGCTATTTAAACAATATACATTATATCTAAAGATTGCTTTTGAACCGGCGACAATGGTGCATGACATATTGGTGTGCAATGACAGATACCAGGAATGACAGTCTTGACCTACGTTTTGGCTAATAGTATCCTCTCGATCGAAACAAATCTTTTACAGAATAATAGTGTTACAATTCAAACCAGTATGTAAATGTACCTCTATATTTAATGATGAAAGAAATATACAATAATTCATGTAACGATGCCAGCTTATTGATATAAATCTGAACTGATACTCACACATACACTGTTGTATTTGGGATTATTCTTCGTCAGTAAAGTAAAGATTCTAGGATTTTTTAACAGAAAGAATATGGAGTTTTAACATATATATTCTTGCTTTCTTCTATCGTGCATTATCGTGTCTAGGGAACTGAATATATTATTAGTGGTTGTCTGAACACTTTGTATGTGAAGGAATACTGAACGCTTGTCTGTCAGTCCTATGATATTCTGAATCTATGGTACTCACTTTTCACAGCGGCCAGGGCTACAACCACACACAAAAACACCACAAGTACTTCCGTTGCATGACTTACATTCTCGCCCATACAAATTTGGTTTACATCCGTCAATGCAGAATCCATCTGTGATTTCACACCTCCCATTAAGGCAACCGTTGCACTTTTCTCCACAGGTGTTTCCAAAATAACCAGGCTCACACGACATACAGTTGCTGGCATTCTGGTCACATTCAACACAATGTCGAGGACAGGACATGTTACAATATGTCCCCTGAATCCCTCCCTACAAGACAAACATGAGCCATCGTATCTGTTGCAGGCACCAGCAGCACAGTTGTCAGGACATCTGGTACTACACGTCGGTCTATACCACCCCAGTACACAACCATACTCACATTCCCCAGATGTCTGACTACAACTTGTGTTAAGACAATTTACACTGCAGGTATTACGACACTGGTGGCCAAAATATCCCTTTCTGCATTGACAACTTCCATCCCTGTTACACCGTTTCGTGGGACATCCAGTAGAACAGTTTTTCTTGCATTGGTCGCCATGAAAACCATCCAAGCACTCCATGCATGTTCCGTTCTGATGGCAGTTTGAATGTTCACAGTTGTTACTGCAGCGGGTGTTGCATCCCTTACCATGCCATCCACTGTTGCAACCTTTCAAACATTCACCTATTGTTGAACAAGATTTATCCACACATTCTCCACAGTTTTTATCACATTGTGGTCCGAAATGTCCTTCCTTACAACCATCAATGCAGATTCCAGAGAAGTTACATGACTTGAATCTACAGTTACTGTGGCATTTCTGTCCACATGCATGTCCATAGAATCCAGGGCTACATCCACACAGACAGGTTCCATTTGTGCGGTGACAGTTTGAGGGTGTGTCTGTACAGTTACCACAGTTGTCACATGTTTTGTCGCACTTCTGATCATATCTGTTCCGTGGACAGTTTGCACATTCACCAGAAATGGGGTCACAAATACCATCCAAACACCATTTGTTGCACGTATGTTCACAGTTTACTCCCCATCTCCCAGTTATTGTACAAGGACACTTCCCGCTGTACTCAGGAGGCATTCCATCCCAGCATTCCTCGCAGCTGCTGCCATTCCAGTACTGTCCACGTTCACAGTTCACTGAATAACAGAATCGTCGTTGTATTAAACCAGTTCAAGTCAGACGAGGTTTTACATAATATTGTATTTGAATAAATAAATTGTGAATAACTATTTATGTTAGCTACGTCCGAACGTTTATGGACGATCTGTGGCTCGACAGACGAGGCCTCCGAAGTGATTTATACCTACAGAGGATTTCATCCTGTCAGAGAATTGTCAGCACATATTCCACTCGGCCTTATACCTGCAGATTTGTTAATCCTGACAGAGGAAAGTTAGCATATATTTCAATCAATTTGGTCGGAAACAAATATTTTCATGAAAGGTGTTCAGACTCTACACATATTTGAGGATACTGGTTACTACTGATGTTAGTATGGTATGAACTGGAACTGAATTGTTTTTATGCACTATAGAGGCATTTGACAATAGAGGAAATAGACAATAGAGGGTTTTCATAGCATCCTGTAAGTGATTTTGCAGCAAAGAAATATTTGAATATTTTAACAATGAATAGACGCCCGAAGTAACATTATGATGCAAAGGATTCTACTAATTTATTCGAGGTGACTTGCCTTGTTTATTTGAGATAGAAGAAGGGAGTGTTTTAATGTTCAGCGTGTAAGTAATCTCCTGACACATAAATCATTACGAAGTGAAAGGATGTAAAATTCACTGTGCACACAGGGACAGCTGTGGATGGATGACTTCGCGTCAAACTGTGTGACATCAACATGCTTATAAATCCCAAACTAACTTAAGTCGTCGAAACATACCACTTCGGTGAAACCGACAATGACTGGTGTGCTGCTAGCAGGTGTACATTCGGTGGCTCTATTAAATCTGATAGAGAAATATAGGAACGTTATTAACCTGTGGTGTTACAGCGTCCACATGTCATCGGGCAGCTGTCCGCAATACCAGGGCTGTCACAGCTGGCGGACTTACACCAAGAATGTGTATCCTGACATTTTGCATTATCTGAAATAACAAAACAAAGTCAGATCTTCTGTGCACAGACTTACATTTAAGAGGCGTCATTCCTATGGGAGACGTTGAACAAAGAGAGAAAACTGTCAGAGTTAGTATTACTTTAATTTTACTGTTATGACTTTGCCCTTTGCAGTTGCTTTAATAATATAAATCTAGCAAATCTGGAAGTATTTTGACATAATGATATGAGAAGTGATGTACCTTTCCCAGAACCGAGTTCGGCTTCCGCCAGTATGCATGCAGACACGTAGAGCACAACAGTCGCCTGAAAGGTAGGTATATTGTACAGGAGGGTTTCACATGTTGCTTCATAGATTAGAGGACAAGTGACAAGTGACAATGACACATCATCAGCATGAACTTAGCACGACGATGGTGGAGATAACAGGTTGTTCAAAGTTGTTAATTTCACACAACACCACCGATAGACTATCCATAGCTTGCCTAAAATAGAAGTGGATCAAGCAAGCAATCTAGTAATCTAGTGATCAAATATTAACAGACACAATATCTTAGAAACATTATGTAAAGCACCAACCTTCATGTTCCCCTCATGTACTGGGACAATATGAATAAAATCACCAGGCGTTGTCAGCCAGCGGCTTCAACTGTTTCCTTGGATATACTCAGTGTGGGAGTGGACTTAACACCGAAACAGAAATCATCAACAAGGAAGAAATTCATTTAAGTGAAACATTTTCGAGTGCAGGAATATGTTTTCAAACCAAACTGTTTTTGCTTGTATTGTGTGTAAGGTGTCCACTCGTGTGTAAGCTCGGGCTTATTTTCTTAATGGAAGCTACGCCCCTGGAAATAACACGACTACCGATAAACTATCCATTGCTTGCCTAAAATCGAAATGGACCAAGTAAGCAATACGTACAAATCTAGTAATCAAATATATACAGACACCATATCTTAGAAACGTGATGCAAAACACCAACCTTCATGTTGCCTGCATATACAGCAGCAGCATAAAATCACGTTTGCCAGTGACCGCCAGTGTGTTTGTACAGACTTCAATTTCCTTGGGTACAGTGTAGGGATGGATTTAAAGCCCAAATGGAAATTTTCAACATGGAAGAAATTCTGGTTAACCCATCCAACACCTGAATAAATTTGGAAGGTGAAACATTTTGTTTCAAACCAAAGTGCTACCTCCAATGGAAACTCGAGTTCCTCTTTTTTTTATCCTTTTTTTTGGGTGGTGTGTGTGTGTGTGTGTGTGTGTGTGTGTGTGTGTGTGTGTGTGTGTGCGTGTGCGCGTGTGTTTACAGTTGGACTATTGCTTACTGCGGCGTTATCAAAGATCAGATATTCACAATATATAACGTCAACAGTCTCGATTACCCACTGACACAAGGTAGCGGGCTGGTTTGTTGTTTAGAGTCGCTCTCATCAATATAGGACAAAGTCTGGTGCAGCTCGAACAAGGGAACATGAGTTCTATTTAAAAATTCCCAGATCCCCAAAACAAGAAGGAATTTATGGGAACACTGGTGTTTTCGTTTTTTATGATTTTTTATTTTTGATTCTCCATACATCCAGGTCATACAGTTCATTACATAACGGGTTGGTATAAACACGATTCGCAAATATATACAAAGTCGATTTACAGGCAAATGTGTATTCAGGTGGAAATGAATAGGTACTTGAAAATATAATAGCAGTACATTATATATAGCGCTAGGTTAACAGAACAGATTGTGACGTAGTGACCGAAATTTTGTGAAGCTGTCATATTTGCAATTTGAATAGGCATTAAAACGTTCAGCATAATATGTTGTCTTTACGTCTTCTATAATGTAGTTCACATTTGGTCTTTTTATCTCTTTGTTTCATTTTGTATATATTATATTTCACTACTGTTATTATCAAATTCAGAGCATGGTTTCTCTTTTCACAATATCCTAGAATAATATTTTTCCTTGAAAAGATAATATTTGACCCTGTTTTTTCGAATATCCATTCTTCTATTTTCTTCCAAATAGTTTTTATGACTTTACAGTCAAAAAATAGAATTGATTCTTCCTCGGATTAGCAAAATGTGCATGTGTTGGAATCTTATATTTAATTTTTGTTAGCAAATCATTTGTTGGCAGAAACCTATGCAGTATGCTGTATTGAAACCACGAGTGTTTTACACTATTATACGATTTAAAGGTTGTTTGTTTAAAGGTGGTGGAGTTATCATGTATATTAATCACGCTCTCTGTTTTACGAGATTATGTCATCTTGAAAATCACTGTGATGAATCTATATGGGTTAAAGTATTTATCCCACAAAAGCCGCTTGTGTTATGTGTCACCTACAGACCACAATACCAAGGTTTAGAATACTGGAGTCGGCTTGATAGTAGCATTGAGACTGCATTAGATATCTCGAGTAAAATTACCGTTGTTGGCGATCTAAACGCAAACCTTTTGTCCAATAATAACACGTATCTGCATGATTTAATGGCTAGAAAAAATCTGAAAAATGTTATTAAAGACCCAACGAGAGTAACAAAAACAACGAGCACACTGCTTGATCCCATCATTATATCTGAAGATGTTGATGTTTTTTGAACAGTGGTGTTGTAGATTTATGTAAAAGTATAAGTGACCACAAAGGTACGTATATCACCGTTGATGCTCATGTAAATACCAGGTTAGCCTATACAAAAGAAACGTATTATGTTATGAAAGAGGTGACTATGAGAAACTCAATGCTATGATTAATGAGACAAATTGGTATAACATATTTAGTAGTTGCAGGAATGTTAATGAAGCCTGTGCACTGTTTATAAGCATCTCAACCGTTTTATATTTGTGTGTATTCCTTCTAGAACGGTCACCATTCGACCAACTGATAAACCTTGGTTTAATTCAGAACTTCGGAGAGAATGTAGAAAAGAAATAGAATGAGAAAAAAAGCCCAAAGAGACAAACCGTCTAGTACATATTTTGGCTTATAAGAAACAAAGAAATAAAGTAAATAATATGAAATGTTATGCAAAGGATTCATTTTATGCCAGTCTCACAAACGATTTTTACTTGATCTGTATTCTAGTAATAAAATTCCTATTGGAAATTACTTCGGTTTTGATTAATGATTCAGGATCAGTCCTTTGCATTCCGTCTTTAAGACAAATGATGCAGATGAAAACCCAACGTTATTTACTGATATGCAGAAAGCAGAGAAACTTAATCAGTATTTTCAGTCTATATCTAGTATTGATGAAGAAAACACAGATATGCCATTCTTTGACAAACGCACTGATTCTGTTTTAGATAGTGTAACAATTGATGCAAATGAAGTGTCCGATATAATCAAATGTTTACATCTTAAAAAGCTTCTGGCCCGGACAGAATCAGTCATAAGTTTTCTTAAAAATGTTGTACATTCAATAAGTATCCCACTGTGCATGTTATTTAATCAGTCATTAAAAGTAGTAGATATCAAGTGTGTGGAAAGAAGCAAATGTAATGCCCCTATTTAAAAGGGTGATCCCTCAATGGCCTCTAACTATCGGCCTATATCCTTGATCAGTTATTGTGGGCAAGGTGTTTGAAAAGTGATGTTTAAACGTCTGTACAACTATTTTCATGCAAATCGATTATTGTATAAGTATCAATCAGGTTTTCAGTCTGGTCACTCAACTGTCCATCAATTAATTGAAATATATGACCAAATCTGTGCGGCTTTAGATGATAAAAAAACACTATTGTATGGTTTTCTGTGATGTCTCTAAAGCTTTTGATCGTGTGTGGCATAAAGGTTTATTGTTAAAATTAGAAAATACGGAATTCATGGTTCATTGTTAAATTGGCTGGCAGATTACATAAGTAATTGTTCACAAAGCGTCTTTGTGAATGGAGCCCTATCAAGCCGGAGTATTTACAAGCTGGTGTCCCTCAAGGGTCAGTCCTCAGTCCCTTCTTATTTCTTGTTTATGTCAATGATATTGCTGATGATTTAAACTGCTTGACACGATTATTTGCTGATGATTTGTCTCTTGGGTCATCTTCTCATGATCGTCTATTCATTGAAAGAGATTTGAATTCAAACTTGGAAAGGCTGCAGGCTTGGGCAAAGCGGTGGCTTATAACATACAATCCTGATAAAACTGAGGCAATCTTTTTCTCCTTGCAAAAGAATGTTGATGCACTAAATCTGTACTTTAACGGGGTTTGTGTCAAAACAGTTAATAATCATAAACATTTGGGATTAACATTTTCAAAAGATTGTAAATGGTCTGACCATATTGATAATATTGTAAAAATAACTTCAAAAATGATATCTTCTCTACGTAAACTCAAATTTTTATTACCACGCTCTGTATTGAATAGAATTTACGTTATGTTCATAAGACCCCATTTTGAATATGCGTGTGAAGTATGGGATGGATGTGCTAAATGTCAAGCAAATAAATTAGAACAACTGCAATTAGAAGCAGCAAGAATTGTAACAGGTTTACCTAAATATACTCATCATGAACATCTGTATTATGAAACTGGTTGGGAATCTTTAGCAGAACGTAGGAGAAAGCGTAAACTTCGCCTTTTTTACAAAATACAGAATAATATGGCACCATCGTACCTTATTGATCTTGTTCCTGGGGACATAGCATCTAAATGTAGCTATAATCTTCGCAAACTCTGATGATATCTCACTTCCTTTCTCGCGATTAAAATTTTCCTATGATTCTTATTTTTCATCCCACAATTAGAATGTGGAATGAACTTCCAGTTAGAAGTGAGAAAAAGCGGAGTCATTGAATTCTTTTATATCGAATATTGTTATAAAACATAAAACTGCTCCTCAATACTTTGATTCTGGACCGAGAATCACTAACATCATCCTTACAAAACTACGTTACATCTGTAGTCAGTTGAATTATGATCTATTCCGTGCTGGTTTTAAAGAGATAGCCCAAGTTGTTCTTGTGGAAATGTTTGTGAAAATTCTTATCATTACTTATTTGACTGTCAATTATATACAGTACAGAGAACTATCATGTTTACTAATTTACGCAGTATTACAAATGTGGATATAACCTATGAGTTACTGTTACATGGCAATGCAGATCTGACTGTTCACATAAATCAAAACATATTTTTAAAATTGTTCAAACATATATTTGTCATTCAAAACGATTTTCTTAATTGTTGCAATTGTTCCTCTTTTCCCCATATTTCTGCTCTGTTCTTCTCTGTCCATCTTGTAGAATGAATGTAAATAATACTATGTAAATACAACGGAGAGGGTGTTCTTAGTTGTATAACTTGTACCCAATCCTTTTCTCATGAATAAAATATGTTTAAAACAAACAAACAACAAAGGTTGTTTTTTCTATCTTCAATAGACTCATTAAGTTCTTTTTGCCACTTGTTTCGATATGTTAAAGGCTTTCTAGATTTACCATTTTTGAGTATGTCATAGATATCTCTACATCCTTTTGGGTTTCCTACTATATTTCGTAAAAGATAGGGCAAGATCGGAGCTTGGATTTTCTCTTCAATATGGATGTTTATGGATTTGCAGTAATATTTAATTGATTCCACTATTCCTTGACGCTCTAGGAAGTTAGTTTTGCACCAAAACGATGTTTGTAATTGTTCCACCGTCAAAAAGTTACATTGGACGTCAAACTTGTCGTTTATATAAGTAATCCCTTGCTTGAATAATGTTTATAATTGCTTGGTTTTCCATCTATTTTAATATTGTCATTTAACCATAAGGGTTGGGATAAAATATCACATGCATTTTTTGCTTTTTCTGCTTTTCTGGTTACGAATTTACCCCATGATTTCAAAGTGTCTTTCCAAATGCAATTTGTTTCTTGTGTTATTACTGATTCAAGTATGTGTGTTTCGCATGTTTGTATAAAGCTGTCGATGTCCCAATGTGTCTTCGTTTGTAGCAATTTCCTTACTTTTTGAATCTGAGTTGGTGAGTCTTTTAATCCATGATGTTTTTTGTGATTGAATAAGATTTTTTATCTCTGGGGCTCGTATTCATAATTCTTTGT